CATTTAGATTGATTTAATGGAATAAATCATGTTTCTGATCATTGCTGCACCTTAAGAGACGTTTGGCAACAGTACCGAGAACAACGCAAAACAGCGGTAACCCCATATTTATTGATCTATAGTTTTTGTCACATATTCGGATTCTATGATCAAGACTGGGATTATGAAAACATTTTTAGACCTTCAGAACTTATTTTGCCTGAGTTATAGAATTTACAAAATAAGGTGTAACAGAGTTTTCAGAAAAGTGCTATCCTCAGTATTTTGCCTATATATCAGGTATTTTTTGTCCATTCTGTTTCAGCAACATCTTGTTGGAAAGCCTGATGAAAACTGTACAAAATCATATGTCTTTGAACTTTTTCAAGTGAAAACTAAATGTCATGCTAGCCAATCAATTGAAAAATGGCTGTTTGAAAAAAGCGTTTTTCTCAAAGAAAATTAATAAATTCCGTCCTATATAAAAAATGTCTCCCGAAATATTCATCACATTCTGTAGAGCGATCAATCCTCTGCAAACTGAGCTATAAAACTTTATTCTGCAAGTTCCGCAAAATGATGAAAATTGCATAACAATTAGCCATACCATAAGTACAAATGTTCCATCTTTTCGAGAAAAATTGAATTTTAATGCCAAAACAAAATTGTTATACAAATATGATTACGATGATCCCAGTTCAATATACAGTTTCAGTCCTTCTTGCTGTTCCTTTCTGACTGGCGTCTTTTATTTGGTGGTCTAACATCAGGAGTTGATCCGAGACGTTTATCTGGAGATGTTGGACGATTCTGTGGTGTATGCGGTTTGGATACATCTGCAGCATCTCTCAGTTTATATCGACGTAACACTTTCATAAATGCCCGGTCATCTTCAAACTGCTCATTGTCTTCATCGTCTACTTCCATGTTCTGCTGTGGTTTTCCAGATAGTGCTTTTAATCGTGAAAAAAACACCCAACGTCAGGATGCACACTTCAAGCAAAGGCAATTAATTATCGATTTCTTCGAGGTGATCTTTCTTTGCTGACTTTTACATAACAGAGCAAAGTGCATGTCTTTGTATGTGTGCACACATGACGACATCACTTCAGCTATACTATCTCCCTCTGATTCAATTGGTGATCGCCGTATGATATGAATTGGATTTGGATACATCTGCAGCATCTCTCAGTTTATATCAACGTGAGACTTACGTGAGACGGCCGAATATGTGATAAAAACTATAGATCAATAAATATGGGGTTACCGCTGTTTTGCGTTGTTCTCGGTACTGTTGCCAAACGTCTCTTAAGGTGCAGCAATGATCAGAAACATGATTTATTCCATTAAATCAATCTAAATG